GGGATCAATAAAAAAGTGGTGGCAGTGTAATAAAATGTTGTTTAAGAATGCGCGCAAGTCGAGTTAACAAGTTTAAAACTAGCAAAAAAAAAAAAAAACACCAGGCACTCCTGGATTACCCCCACTGCCAGCTCCACCCATCTTACAGTCATCCACAGCAGCACGTCAGCACACACCACTGCATACATACATAGGTACGAGCCGAAAGTCAGTAGAAGTTGAACTACCAATTAGTGATCCTGGCCAAGGTCACAGCTACCAACTGCTAGCAAGCACAACCACAAAGGGTCGCACATCGGATCAGCTGATCTAGTGATTTTATCGAGTGCAGGTCAATGGCCACTACACATATGTAGTTTAAACATANACCACAGAGGGTCGCACATCGGATCAGCTGATCTAGTGATTTTATCGAGTAGCAGTAGTAGAGTAGCAGAGTGGGAGCGCTAAAGAGCGGGAGCAAGCGAGCAGCGCAGCGAGGACCGGCGTCAATTGGAGCAGAAGCTCGACAGCGTCAAGCTTCCAGCAGCAGCGCCGCCGAAAGTGGGACGGTTGCAGTCCATCAATGTCAGGGAAATTAACTAATCTTTGGGTTGTTCTTTTGAAGTTATATTGGAATTAATTTGAAGTATTTGTCAATTATGTTGTTAGTCCACAAGCTTTAGTACCTACATAGTCCCTTTTTGCCCTTTTCAATTTAATCGATAATTAATAAGTTTTTTTTTTGCTAATTCTCACCATTTTTCTCTTTGCTTATTACTCACCCACTTCATTTAGCTTACCTCGTTCTTTGGAATCCCTTAGTTTCTGTGCATTTTCTGCATTTTTGAGTATCTTGTTATTCAAGACACGTGGTTCATTTTTTATGATACGTTTTTTGAAGAGAAATACTTACTGAAGTATTTTCCTTTCTTAAACAAAAAAAAGGAATCTTAAATATCTGAGTAGCTTTGTTGTTGGATTTTTTTTTTGTCACTTAGCCAAGTAGAATATTTCCTTCGGTTATGTATCTCCATACTATTATTTTCCCGTCAGGGCTTATTAGTTTTAGTTACGCACATATATGCAAATTTACGCGAGCACTACTTTGTTCATTCACACCTTTTTTCTGGCGGTTCTACTGAAGTATATGGTTGAATACGTTTTTTTGAATTTTGTTTTTGTTAAAAGTTAAACGCCCTAAAGCCCCTTTAATAATTTCGGTTTACTAATCCTTTTTTTATGCTTTGTTGCTTCACACACTTTTCGTTTCTTTTTATTTCTTCTTTTCCTAAATATTATTTCTATTTTTTTGTCATGGTTGACCCGCTCGATGCCCGCCAGCATGAGCGAGTGATCGAGTTGGCAAAGATGAGATAAGTGGAACCCTTTCTATAGGCTTATGTATGTATGTATGTAAACAGTAGTTTAAGCTCTCCAGTGCATTCCAGAACTTCATTCTATGACTGCTTTTACACAGTTCAACTATTGAATTCAATTCTGTTTGCATGTGGAAGAGAGGGGGTGAGAAGAAAAGGGACGAGTACACATGCGTCTGTACCGTCAAGTCGTTTCAACTTTCTTGCTTTGCTTTTGGCATTTTCGTCGCTTCCCATTTAAAGAACCAAAAACTTGAATTCAACAGAATTGAAACGTGTAAAAGCAAATAGAAAACACAAAAGAGAATGAGCAAGAATTGCTTTCAAGTACTTGAATCATGTAAATCGGGTGCATCATACACACGTACACATATACTTGTTCACTTACATTTGCATATACATATAGTGTTTCGCACAGGGAAGTGTATGTATGTTTATGCATATATGAACATACTAATAGCTTCGTTCCCCACGCTTTCCGGGCTGCTCCGGTAATTAGAGAGTAAAAATAAGTTACTCTCTCACAAGTGTCAAAAATGTGCCAACACGTGCCAAAAGTGCCCAGAGCGTGAGGAACGCAAAAAACCACATTTCGTGCCCGGAATCAGCATATCACCTCTAAACAATGATTTTACGTGTATTTATCTTATATGGCTAATAAAATTACCAAATAACTACATTTTCTGAAAATTCTGTGATATTTTGCACTTTTGTTTTTATAAAATTTGCTTTCGGATTTAAACAACAACAGCAGTTATTTCAAATTGCCCTTTTGCACATTTGTGCCCGGAAAAAAAGTCCGGGCTGTTTCGTGCACAAAGAAGAAGATATTTACGATCCAAAAGTGGAACGTATTCGCTCTCTATTACCCATTTTTCTAGCGTGAGGAACGCTTTCTGGGCTGCTTGGGCACCCGTGGGTACAAGCGGGCTCGTGTGGAACAAACCTAATGTGAATACATAGCGCACTGACCAAACGCGGTGCTTTACGAGCATAACAATTTCTTTTGTTGATATGTGCACGTACATCGATACCTACATACACTTACATATACCCGTACTCTTGGAGACATTGAAACGGAAAGATATAAATATATATATATATTTGATTATATATTTTTTTGTTGGAATTACATAGTTCTGAAGAGATATTAGACCGGAGTTAGATATTTTTTTGTGAGAATATAGATACATATCCAACCTTCAGGTTGTTTAGTTGAATTAGTAACATAGGTCATTTTGTCTGTTAAGAATTTTGGAGTTCATACTAGTTTTAAGTAGTTCTGAATTACCAATGTTATTGTAGGTATAAGCAAGCGGAATAAAGAGAGTAAGATAATATTTATTATGAAGTTACGATTTGTATTTCTCGATAGGTGAAGGGTATATCAGCAATATGAAGTGCTAGTTTTTTTATCTTTTTGGTGTGGGTCTTGTGCTTGCACAACTGAGGGGAAGTAGAGGGGGACAGTATGACGATACGGAGAGGACAGTGACGGACGGATTTACATACGGACACCTGTCAGGTAAAGGGGGCGCTGCTAAAAAGGAAGGGGTCGCAGCAGCGCCCATGGCTTCGTGGAGCGCACGTAGAAAGAGTGGGATGACTCCATCTGACCCGGACAGACCCTCTCTTCGATGCTCTTCTTTTCTCTTGTTCTACTATTCTTTTGGTTTTTCTTGTATTGAATATTAGTTTATCAACGCGATATATCGCAATCAGGCATGATTAAGTTTTTTGTTAATATAGCTAAAGGCAAGGAAGGTAGAGAAGACCCACCCGAAATATATTGTATCTGATCGAGGTAGTTGCTTCACATCAGGTGAATTTCAGCAGTTCCTAGAAGAAGAAAACGTACGCCACATAAAGATAGCAACAGGGTCGCCACAAGCCAACGGGCAAGTGGAAAGAGTGAATATAAGTTTAGGACCAATGATTGCAAAACTGACAGATCCAGAGAGAAATTTACATTGGGATAATCAGCCCTATCATAGAATCCATCGTAGGCTGTATTTTCGGAGATGTTCCGAAATAGCTNTTGCAAAACTGACAGACCCAGAGAGAAATTTACATTGGGATAATGTCGTAGAAATAGTTCAATATGCTCTTAACCAGGGTACGAAAATAAACTGTACAAAACAATTCCCATTTGCTCATCGATCATCATATCATTTGTGGTTTTGTACAGTTTTGTACATAGACAGAAACAAATTGTAAGATTTACTGTCATTCACTGTCCCCAACGGGAAACGTTAGATTTTCGTTTGTGACAATTGTACCATAGGGTACGTTTTATATGTATGCAAAAGTTTCAATTACGTGAAAAATATTTTTTTCTGTAAATTTTCATATCCAATTCAATTAAAAAACATGTACTACATACATACACATATTTTTCTATGCACGATTCATTTCGTTTGTTGTTTCGTCTGTAACTACTAAACTACTGTAGTGTACTATCGCAAAGTGAACTCAGCCGTTTTGTTTTCGTATTGTATCGAACTGTAGAAGTAATAAACGAAACGAAATAGCAACGTACAATATAGTTTATTTTCGTACACTGCTCTTAACAACACAACATATCGAACAATTAAGCAATACCCAAGTGCAATGCTCTTTGGGGTAAGACAGCGGGGTAAGGTTGAGGATGTGTTGAAAGAAAGGTTAGCAGAAAATGAGATAGGTTCAGAATTAAAAAGTCATGTTGAGACAAGAGAAAAGGCAGCTAAGAATGAGGAAAGGCTGCAAGAATATAACTGTTCGAACTCGATCGAACTATTGCCCTGGCCGTCGCCTTTCAATTCGCTGTTATTTTATCATGCAAACTGTCGCCACAATCTGGCATTCTCTGTGGCTGAGTTAGCCGTCGCCGCGTTCTGGCATCCATGTAAATCGAGGGCGAAGAGAGCGAAAAGAGACAGAAAACGGAGAAAATAAATGCATCAGCTAAGAAAGGTTGCCAACTAGCGGGCATCCTCTCCGCATGTATATATAAGTGTTTCACTAACCTTGTAAATATATATCTATATTATATTGTGTCAAGTACATACCTAACGGAAGAAATCTGAAGTTTTTTCTTCTAATAAAATCAAGCCTTCGCTTCAGTACTGTTTTTTCTTAACCCCAATACGATGCATTCTGCACATAAATTTGGTGGCCCATGAGGGGAACATAAGCTAGAAAACCATCCCAACCCAACAATCACAAATAAGCCTGCATACAACGTTCACCTTTGCTGACGGAAAAAACGATTTGCCGCGAAATATTTGTCATCACTGCCGTTTGTAAAGGGCAGCGTGTTAATTGATGACGTCACCACATAACCCCAAAACAACAAGTGGTGTTCAACAAGTCGTCCACCTACCCGAGAAGAAGTCCAAACTCCGTTCCAAGACGACATCGAAGCTGAATCCATACTACACCATCCAAGATAGCATAGACAGCATACAGGTGAGTGTGCCAGTGCACCATAGTTGTAGTAGTTGGTTGCTTAACTAACGACATTGCATTGCGTCAACACCTAGAGAGTAAGTAGGGTATCGGTTAGGGAATAGGCGCGATGACTCCTACCAAAGACAATCCGCCAGCTTCGCCACCGGCAGTTGACGATGGACTCTTGGCATTGCAGGCAGCTCATCATGACGGTCTCAAACAAATCTATAAGAACTTCAAAAAGGACTCTTGTGCCAGGAAAACTAAAGCCTACTGCCAAGTCCGGCTAGATAAGGTTGAGCTGCTGCATAAAGAATTCTTTGAAGGTCACAAAACCCTTGTTTGCTCTTCTCTGAGTCGCGATTCACCATATTTTAAAGATTCAGCGGCATCAAAATTTGAGGATCTCTACTTCGACTTGCGTGCTGCACTGTTAGATGCCTTGGAAGAGCAACAGCCTAAATCAACGCAAGGCGCTCCTCCGAACCCATCTGCGGGGCATATGCAAACGTCGTCGCTTGAACTACCGAAATTACCCGTGCCATTATTCACTGGAAAGTACACAGACTGGCCAGCTTTCCACGATGCCTGTATTCGCTTAATTCATAACAATTCGAGTTTGAGTATGATCCACAAGTTCCATTTTCTGAAAAGGGCGCTACCTGATGATAAAGACCTCGATGTGCAGCAAATGGATCTTACCGAAACTAACTATCCTACAGCCTGGGAGTTAATAGTAAAGCGGTACAATAACCCTCGACTTCTTTTCATGCACCACATGAACAAGCTGTTCAGCATATCTACGCTTACGAAAGAGCAGTCGGATGGGATTAAATCACTTCTAAACGCGGCCAGGGTGTGCATCAATGAGTTCCAGCGACTAAAAATTCCTATTTCCGACTGTGACCACTGGATTGCCTACTACGTATCAATGCAGCTCCCTAAAGAGACGCATCAGGCATGGGAACATCATTTAGGTAGTAACACTTCGATTCCAACCTTTACCGCACTTGAATCGTTTTTAAATGATCGCTTAGTTACAATTAACGTGATCGAAAACAGGCAGCGTCACATTGATGCGCCATCATCCTCAAAGCCTAACCCGTCAGCTCATTCGCCAGAGAAACGCAGCAGTTGGAAAGCGAATCAGTCAATCAGCAGAAGCTTTCATGTAACTGCCCAACCAAAAGGGGCAGGTTCGTGTTACCTATGTGGTGATACTCACATATTGCGCCGTTGCTCGACTTTCCTGACTAAGGACTGTTTCGAGCGCAAAGCTATTGTTGACCGCGCAAAATTATGTTTAAATTGCCTTAGCAACTCGCACAGAGCTGCTCAGTGTCCCAGCACAAAAAATTACCTTCAGTGTGGACAAAGACACCACACCTTGTTGCACTTTCCGAAATCAGCTCCACAAACCGATGGAGCTTCAGCAGCACAACCACAGCTGAATCCCACAGCTCTGCCTTTCCGACGTGAAAGCACATTTAGTTCAACCACCACAGCCTCAAAGGCAGCAAATTCTGCTTTTGTAGCAACAACAACTACAGAAAAACCAGGGCGACAGGTTCTTCTAGCAACTGCAATGGTAATTATAGTGAATAACGTCACTGGTCAAACAGAAATTATACGCGCTCTCATTGACAATGGCTCCGAAGCAACGATAATCTCGGAACACGCCGCTCAAACCGTTGGCTTGACTCGCACTCGAACTTCAGCGGAAATCTCCGGGGTGACCGGCACCCCCTCAAAACATTGTAACTTTACTGTCAGTTTTAGCATTCGCTCATGTATCAATCCTGATTTTCACACTGAAATAGACGTAGCCTACGTTCTTAATTCGCTCGCTATCCATCTACCCAGTGAGAAAATTGTGGCGCAGCAATGGCCGCACATACTTGGCCTGCAACTCGCTGATCCCACTTATTTCCAATCCCGCCGTATAGACTTGCTCCTCGGAGCCGATATGATGGCCCGTATCATGTTACCCGAAACTCGCATCGGAAGGTTCGACGAACCAATCGTACAACGCACACAATTGGGGTGGATCTTGACCGGAAATGTAACGCCAGTTTCCAAACGCTCAACAAGCATTCGCTGTCACCACTCCACGCTTCAACTTGAATCTCTCGTTCAAAGGTTTTATGAACATGAACAAATACCTGAGGACCGAGCATTATCTCTCGAAGAAAACTGGTGTGAAAACCATTTTCTGCAAACACATTTGCGTCAGCCCAATGGCAAGTATTTGGTAAGACTTCCATTAAAGCATTTGTTTGATGAAACTCAAACACTTGGCAAGTCTAAGTAAACAGCACTAAATCGTTTTTATTGCCTAGAGCGCAAACTTCAACGCGACNAAGTATTTGGTAAGACTTCCATTAAAGCATTTGTTTGATGAAACTCAAACACTTGGCAAGTCTAAGCAAACAGCACTAAATCGTTTTTATTGCCTAGAGCGCAAACTTCAACGCGACGAGAAAATGTGCAAGCTTTACAGCGAATGCATCCATGACTACTTCGTATTAAATCAAATTACGCCCGCTACAACAACGGAGAGCGATCACTGCACCTTCACTCCGGCGACTACTCCAACGGTGACATCGTGCGTTCTGCCGCATCATGCGGTGCTTAAAGAAGAGAGCTTAACGACTAAGTTACGCTTTGTTTTCGATGCTTCGTGTAAGACGACGAATGGCAGATCTTTGAATGATGTTTTGTGCACTGGCCCGGCGCTGCAAATGACTTGTCGGCAGTAATCTTGAATTGGCGAAAACATAAATACGCGTTCACTGCTGATATACAGAAAATGTATAGATGCATCGATATGCACCCCGAAGACTCGCAATATCAGCGTATCATATGGCGAAATAGCGAAGGAAATATTCAAGAATACTGTCTCACTACAGTCACGTTTGGAACGGCCTCGGCTCCATACACCGCAATACGTGTACTCCATCAACTTGCCGAAGATGAAAAGGAGTCATACCCACTAGCAACAGAGGTTCTAAAACACGAATTTTATGTTGATGATGTGCTATCCGGCAGTGACTCCATCGAAGGCGCTATAGCTATTCCTGAGCAAGTTACTGCAACCCTGCGCTCTGCCGGGATGAACTTACGCAAATGGAGCAGCAACTCGATCGCTTTACTGGATGGAATTCCTCCGGAGCACATGTCAAGAAGCAACTGTTTAAACTTCAACAGCACCGAAACGGTCAAAACACTAGGCATGTGCTGGCAACCGAATCATGACATGTTCATTTTCAAGCTTAACTTTGAAATTGATTTCTCAGCAACAAAACGTGCTATGCTATCCACAATTTCTCGGCTGTTTGATCCACAGGGACTTATTGCACCTGTCATAATAAAGGCTAAAATTCTGCTGAAGTCTGTGTGGATGTACAAGGTTCAAAGCGAGCGTCAAGAGAGCATGGCTCTCGGGTGGGATGAAGATCTTCCAGAAGACATAAATCATCAGTGGCAACAGTTTCTAAGCACCTTATCTACCCTGCACTGCATTAGGATTCCCAGATGGCTACAATACGAGCCAATTTATATCAAGTCACTACAACTTCACGCCTTTTGTGATGGCTCAACCGCAGCTTATGCAGCCAGTGTTTATCTGCGTGTAGAATGTTCCGACCATAGAATTTATACTACCTTGCTTATAGCCAAGAGCCGAGTAACGCCAACGAAGGCTCTTACAGTACCGCGCATCGAGCTCAGCGGTGCCGTGCTGGCGACAGAATTGGCATCTTGGACCCAACGGTCGTTTAAGGCTAACGTTTTAGATTTGCCCATTTTTTATTGGACCGACGCTACAATTGTCTTGTATTGGATAGTCGGTGATCCCAACCGATGGCAAACGTGGGTATCGAATAGAGTAAGTAAAATCCTTCAAGCCTCTTCGCCTCATCAGTGGAGCCACGTCGATACGCTTCAAAATCCTGCCGACTGTGCAACTCGTGGATTAACTCCCGCGGTTTTATCGACATTCGCGCTATGGTGGGCTGGTCCTCCCTGGCTAAAGCAAGCTGTCACGGATTGGCCCAAATTTGACCACTCAGCAGTGGATGTGCAAGAGGAAGTAGCTGAAGTCAAGCGCAAACAACTTCAAGTGCACTTTGCTATCGCTGAAGATTCCGTAATTTTTCGGTACTCTTCTCTTCACAAAACGATACGTGTGTGCGCTTACATGTTTCGGTTCGCCTATAACGCTCGTACCCAAACTGCTACGCGTTTGACGGGACCTTTGTCAGTCGCAGAACTGAACGAAAGTTTAACTAAGATTGTGAAGCTTGTTCAACAGGAAGCGTTTTCGAAAGAGATAAGGTGCATTGAAGGAAAGGGGTCGCTGCCAAGCAATAGCAATCTAACGAGCTTAGCACCATTCCTGGATGATCAAGATGTTCTTCGCTTACGCGGTCGAATTCAACGAGCTATGTTACCATATACACAAAGGCATCCAATTATACTACCGAGTTGTCATCACTTCACTTGGTTGGTCATCAACAGCTCGCATATAACAACTTTGCATGGTGGCCCGCAACTAACTATATCTCACATTCGACAGCAATTTTGGATTATAAACGTCAGGCGCGCAGTTAAGCAACAATTGCGTAAATGTATCATCTGCTTTCGCAACAAACCAGTTGCAGCCTCACAGCTAATGGGAGATTTGCCCTTTCACCGCGTCAATCCACCGCAACGCCCCTTTCTAGCAACCGGTATTGATTATACTGGTGCTATCGAACTAAAATCATCACGGTACCGGGGGAACACCACATACAAGGGCTACGTTGCAATTTTCATTTGCTAAGCAACGAAAGCAGTTCACCTGGAGGCGGTTACCGGAATGTCATCCGAAGCCTTTATCCTCGCACTGCAAAGGTTCATCGGCCGGCGAGGACTGTGCAAAGATATGTACAGCGACTGCGGGACGAATTTTGTAGGGGCGGATAAGGTGTTGCAGGTGAGCCAGCGGAAATTTCTCGAAGACATCAAGAAAGATGTCGTTCCACATATCGCCAGCCACGGCATCCAATGGCATTTCAATCCCCCTCACTCCCCCAATTTTGGGGGTCTGTGGGAGGCTAATGTGAAATGCGTCAAGTACCACTTAAAGCGCGTTCTAAATGGTACACGCCTTACCTTTGAGGTGCTATCAACACTTCTTGTACGCATTGAGTCATGCCTAAACTCTCGGCCACTATGTCCGCTGACTTCAGACCCAGATGATTTGATGGTGCTCACCCCCGGGCATTTTCTCATCGGGAGCCCGCTTCTTTCACCGCCTGTTACTTCAGCGGTACCAAACGTTTCACTTAGTCAACACTTTATTCAAACACAACGAATGTTACAACACTTTTGGCAGAAATGGACTTCCGATTGGTTAGCTCATCTGCAAACGCGACCAAAATGGTGCAAAATGCAGCCAAACTTACAACTGAATGACTTAGTTATAGTCAAAGATGACCGACTACCACCAAATGAGTGGGTTATGGCTCGCGTTATTGAACTCCATCCCGGATCAGACAACCTGGTGCGCGTAGTCACCGTACGCACAAAAAATGGAACGTATAAGAGCTCAATCTCTAAGCTGTGTCCATTGCCGATACCCACTTATACTCAAAATTAGCATTCCAGATTTTAGCAACGAAATACTGCACTTGGCACACTCTCTCCTCTTGGCCAGCGTTAAGCCCAAACCAAATGGAGGACTATGCTGATCCCAGCATGGGGGGCGGCATGTTCGAACTCGATCGAACTATTGCCCTGGCCGTCGCCTTTCAATTCGCTGTTATTTTATCATGCAAACTGTCGCCACAATCTGGCATTCTCTGTGGCTGAGTTAGCCGTCGCCGCGTTCTGGCATCCATGTAAATCGAGGGCGAAGAGAGCGAAAAGAGACAGAAAACGGAGAAAATAAATGCATCAGCTAAGAAAAGTTGCCAACTAGCGGGCATCCTCTCCGCATGTATATATAAGTGTTTCACTAACCTTGTAAATATATATCTATATTATATTGTGTCAAGTACATACCTAACGGAAGAAATCTGAAGTTTTTTCTTCTAATAAAATCAAGCCTTCGCTTCAGTACTGTTTTTTCTTAACCCCAATACGATGCAAATCTGCACAATAACAAAAATTATGTAAATAAAAAGAGGCAGAGCCCACACGTATACAAAAACGGAGATTATGTTGTTGTCAAAAACTTCGATTCAAATACAAGTACGCCAAAGACGCTGATTCTAAAATTTAAAGGTCCCTACAAAATAGTAAAAGTATTACACAATGACCGTTATATGTTAGGAGATGTAGAGCGTTTCCAACAGTCGAGAATATCTTACAGGGGCGTGTGGGCAGTAGGGAACATACGGCCATGGTTCTATGGGCGCACGAATGATAGCAAAAGAGATCAGGAGATCTCATTGATCAGGATGGCCGAATATATATATATATATGTAAATATGTAAACGTAGTATATATAGCAACCATAAACACATATGTATGTAAATACCACATAATATGCTGTGTATACATTTCCCCTAGTCAGTAAGCGTCATTTCCAGTTATAGTGTAGAAGTTTCTATTTCCCCTTTTCTATTCTGTAGCGTCCTTTCCAACCTTCCAGAGATTGCATCATCCGTTTAGCTTAAGCACATATTTGTACAGTCAAGGAGAATCAGAATAAATTTGGCGATTAAACCTATCGGACGTGGTTCTTTTATTTGCGTTTATAATTTTGACGCATTTCAGTGTTGGTTCTTTTAATTCAAGTCTGCCTTCGGTTTTTGGAATTTAAATAAGTTCTCAGCAAAAAAGTTCGTTTAAACTGATACATTTGAGTAGTCCACTTGCAAACAGCGTTATGTGATTTTATAATAGAAAACCATAAATTTGAAAAACGGCTACGACAACAAGTAAAATTTAAATTGAATCCTTTTTATTATAACCTGAAAATTGGGATAAGTAGGAGCCTTATAAAATTGCAACTTAATATAACATGTCATAAGATAACATTAACAGTCTATACCACCTAAAGCAGTTTTCTAGATGGATACTTTTGAAAGTTTATAAATAAGTTTGATAGCGACTTTTGGAAAAAGACTTAACATTTGGTGCTATTTTTTTCTGATCATAAAAATATTTTGCACTCTGTTGTTAGTGGGCATGAAACTACTTTAAATATTGGTACGTAATCCACCAAAAACTAGAAATCGAAAAAATTTTAGATAGCGCACTTTGCAAGTGGGCTACTTAATATGTATGTGTACATAGTGCTTGAAAATATCAATTTTTCCCTTACCTTAAACCATTAGGAGTTGGCAAAAATGATGTTTTATAATTAAGGCAGAATTGAATATGCGCTATATGGGAAGACAATATCTACATGTAATATTTATTCTGTGTGGTGGCACTACATCCAAACACAAACGCGTGTTAAGCAAACATTGAACAATTTGTTATTTTCTAAGTTTGCGAATAAAACTTCAAACTAAAATTTAAGATATTCGTAACAAACATTTTATAAACAAAATCCCCGCTACGGCTTTCTTTAGAACAAATATATACGTTTAAAATAAAAATAAGCGTTTTATATAAAGGGTGAACACATCAAAACTGCGACACTTTGGGAAGCTTATAACTTACCCAAAACGAATTCAATATTTTGAAATTCAAATACCATAAGCTGACCACATGACCTTAGTTGGACGTAGAAGAAATTTCATTTGAATTCGTTTCCTAGTTGAGTTAAAAATGGCAACCGAGTTAGAAACGAGACAAACCATTTTGCACGAGTTTATAAATGATCCGGCCTTAAGTACACGTAAAATTGCTAAAAAATTAAAGATTGCACTATTCGACAGTTTGCAGGGTTTTAATCGGTACAAATAAGACCTGGCAGTTACGATAAAACCAGGGAGCGGGGGTTAGCATGGTCAAAGTGATAAAAACAGTGCTCGGAAGGTCCTCAGTGCGTTTTCGCGATATCCGAAGATTTTGTCGCGTTATGTTGCAAAATCCGTACGCAGATCGCAGTTTTTCGTACAAAAGGTAAAGCGGAAAGCTTCATTGAGATGTTCTACAGCTCAAACAGCGCCAGACCAAGGCGCAAAGTAGAATGTTACAGCGAAATCCCGAATTCGGAAGTTGTAAGAATTCTAAATTAAAAAATACAACTGCATTGTTATGGACTGAAAATGAAGTCCAAATTTCCAAAAAACCTCATGGTTTGGCAAGCTATTTGTTCCTGTGGCCGTAAGAGCAGCCATTTTTTTCCATCCGGGACAATGAATGACCAAGTTTATCGGGATGAGTGCCTCAAAAGGCGTCTTCTGTCATTTATCAACAGATAAGGAGTAGGCCACTGTTCTAGGCGGACTTGGCAAGCTGCCACTATGCCAAGGACACATTGCCGTGGTATAATGCAAATAAAATAACATCAATTTTGTACCTCACGACTGCAATCCACCCTATAGCCCAGAGCTACGTCCTATTGGGGAATATTGGTCAATTGTCAAAGATATCTTGCAGAAAACAGGTGAAACAGTGAAAAATATTGAAGAGTGCAAAAGAAAGTAGTTGTGCGCATCGCGTAAAGTCGATGATGCAGTCGTGCAGAACATGATGGCGCGTGTGCGATGAAAATACCGATCACTTGCATATGGAGCAAATAATAACTAATATTTTAACATTTTAATAACATCTAAACTTCCAAGTTATATAATACAAAAAAAAAAAAAATTTCAAAGCCTGCTAGTTTGTTTCTGGTAGTAATTTTAAGTGTCGCAGTTTTGGTGTGTTCACCCTTTAACTCTGCCTGCCATGCAAATTTTCTCTGCGATAAGGCTAGTAGCCATTTCTAACAGATTTCATGTCGCTTATTCAAAAAATGAAACATATATATAACATATTTGCATTTTAAGAAAACAAGGCAAATAGCAAAATCAAGGCAAATAATAAATCGGCTGCCGGCTAAACCGAAATTTCTCCGGATGTTTGCTATCGCAACCGGCTAAATTTAGCCAGAAAACGGCTAAAATGGCAACACTGATTATAAAGTGTGTGCAAGGAGGCGGCACAACATGGCGACCGTGGCTTTCGACGGTACAAAGGACCTCGGCCGCGCAAAAATTAAGAAAAAAAAATACTTAACAAACAAAAAATATAAGTAAAGAAACAAAAATATATAATTAAAAAAATAATATAAAATAAATAAATAATGGTTGGTGCAAATGTAACGAGTACAGCACGCCATTGGCAGGACCATCGAAGCCACGCCAATAGTGTTCCTCCGATACCATTATGTACTCGATGCCTGTACTCATTAAAATTATATAAGAGAAAATACCATGCTACTCGAAGTTTCGCTAGGAAATATTCGATTCTACTTGTACTCGAGAGTACTGAGACGATACATATTAGTTAATAGCCGTATACAATATAACAGCATACAGCGGTGAAAGGCTTATGAAGAGCTGAAAATACCTTTTCACTTCCACCTATTTTGAAATGGGGTTACTTGAAATTGCTGAAACAGGAGACGTTAAGTAATGAGAAAGCTCATCGTTTAGTTGTGTTGGATTTTTCTGTTTCGAAACGAATTCTGGACGGTGCTTCCGCAAATCATAGGCTGGCTCCACATCCTCCTCTAATTCGATATGATTTTTGTTCTCTACTCTGTGCGCTCTTTTAGTTTAACCCTAGCAAAATCGAGTGGGACACATCTTGAATTGTTTTTTTCAAAAATAAAAACACAGATT